AAGGTTCAGTACATAATTTTACCTATAATCAGTGTTGGCTGGGATCCTTATCAGTCTCACAAATGAAGCCAAAGCAGTCCAAGTTTCAAGTTCTTAAATGCTATGTTATTGCTATATTATGTTAATGCAGGCCCTGCTTCACTCATATATTGCTTTCCATTGACTTGCCTGCTGCAATTTGCTGCTAATGGGTCCCCCCCCCCCACACACACACTCTCTTTCTCTCAGTGACTCTCTCTCTTTCCAGCCTTGAGGCGTCCCGTTTCAGCTCCTTCGCTTTCAGTCACAATGCTGTGGAGAGGGTGAATGGGTGGGGGGCATTTAAGAGAGCAGTAGGTGGGAGTGGAGTCTGACCGCAGAGGGTCTACTGTTTAAGAGAAAGGGAATTCTCTCTTTCACTCACTCTCTCCCTCTCCCTGCCGCTCTTCGTCTCTCTATCTCCCCCCCTCACCCTGTCTCTCTCTCTCTTGCTCTTTCTCTCTCCTCACTGGCTGCACAACATCAGCCGGCTCTCTAGGTAGACTCGAGTAAACACTCTAAGAGAACAGAGAGAAGTGGGAAGATGACAGAGCTGTTAGCACTCTGAAAGATACAGACTGGTGAGAACATTTGTCAGGACTGGCTGATAAGGCTCCTTTCAACACGGCTGCTGCTTCAATTTCCTAATCAGTGGAGAGGCTGTGAGCACTGTGCGTGGGGTAAGTCACCTTCTTTACCTGCATGGAGCCGGTGTATTTGAATGAGAGCAGAATGAATGAGCTGATTGTATTGCCTAATTAAAATAATTGAAAATTGCAGATTGATAGCTTAATAACTTCAACCACATTCTCTCAACTTCATGGAGGTATAATTTTATGTTTTAGTCATTTTTATAAAACAACTATGGGTTATTTCTACGAGCAAAATTCTAGAAAATGTCACAAAATTGCTAATGACAAGTTCTGGGAGGGACATCATACAATTTCTTGTTTTGTCCAAACCCCAAAAATATTTAGAAAACTTGCAAATCCTCCCATTTGAAAAGCTAAAACCAGGCAGAATGTGACATTTTTGCTTGATAAATGACTCCAACATTAATTGGTTATTGAAATTGCCGTCAATGAATTTTCTGTCAATTAATCAACTAACCTTTTAACGGCTGAATGCTGTATTTGAAGAATGTGGGCAATGTTAGCGGTAAAGTTATTATTTCCATTCATCAAAGCAGTATATACTTCACGTTTTACAAGCGAGGACTTCAGAGACTGGCTTAATTTTGCTCTTTACTGCACGCACCTGGTTGCCAATTATGTTTTACTGTGAATTTTTTTTCTCTTGCTAGCTTTTTCCTATTTATTACCACAGCAGGTAAAAGGAGTAATGTCTTCAGAGACGGAGGTCTGTGATGATCTGCTAAATTATTCTGCTTGCATTAGGGCTGATGCTGAGTTGTGGTCTGATGGAATACCAGAGGAGAGATGAGCAGGGTTAATGAGTGTGTGTGTCCGTCTGTGTGTATATGTGCACTGCTTGCTGGGGTAGGTCCAGCTGTACACTTTGTGGTTGCCAGCAGACAGTAGGCTTGTGTAACCCAGGAGACAGACAGCTGCTCTGTATTAGATGCTGCTGGTTGGTTCCTCTCCCAGATCTCCAGCATACACACTGCCGGCTGTAAACTGGAAGCTTTGTGGACACACACAAACACACGCACACACCCAGTGACTGTTCATCTCCATGTGCTCCCCAGTCTCCTATCTCCAGATCAGTCTCATTTGTTTGTCAGTTGTGTCCAACACAGAGACTGCAGAAAGACAAATGGACAATATAAAGGAGAGAATGTTTGATGGATTAGTAAATAACCAGTATTCACTGATATGGGTGTTTGATAATGGATATATATAATTTCTTGGCTGCTTAGATTTTTTTTACAGTACATAAGTTTTGGGGATTTTTGCTTGAAAAAATGTATGAATTTAAGCAAGCCTATGTTACTTTTGCTAAACAGTGACCTCTGTGGCCATAAGTTACAATTACAGGATAATGTTAAAGCTAAAATATATTAATAATAATAGATGCATCGCAGAAACACATTGCCAACAAAATCCAAGTAAACTCTGTCACCTTTGATCGCCCTGATGATTCCGACATGCTTTGTCAAACTACAGCCCTGTGTGATCGCCCACTAACAGTAGCACAATTATTGAAGACTCATAACTAATTTTAATGAGTCAGGAGTATCACTTACATTGCAATGTCTGTTTAAAAAGTGCTAACATTAGCCTAAGGCTGTAGCAGCAAAACCCCAGAGTGTATTTAATTGCTTAAATTTAATTTAAGTGCATTTTACTACTTATGATTTCAACTTTTTATTTGTAAAAAAAAGGGTGCTGTTTCTGCTTTCAAAATGTGCATAGTCTCACTTTAAAGTTTTTAGCTTCAAATCTTATTCTTGCCAGGGTGAGCAAACCTCCAAAACTGTATCTAGACCACAGTGGGAGGTAAGCTAGCAGTTCTTTAAGGCGGGGTAAGGCAAGATTTTATGGCAGGATTCACAGATTTACGCTGTCTACCCCCGAAGCTGTTTGAGGAAAATGGTATCCTCATGGTGCCAGATAACAAAACGCATATGTACATCTCAGCGAGAGAGGGTAAAGAGAGGCAAAGGGGTGAGTCAGTGTATAGAGATATGAGGCTGGATGTGATGGAGGAGACCCACAGGATACCAGGGCATTGTCTGTTGGATGGTAATTGTGTGTGATCTGGAGATGCTGACACAGTGAACGACGCTGGCGTCGTTTCAGTAGCTGTGACTTCAGTTTCACTCTGTCAATTATTCTGAAATAAGATTTTTATTTAATTTTGATTAATTTTCACAACTTAATGATATACAATATATGTCGTTTCCACTTGTACACTGACTTCTTCTGCATAACAGGCGTGCTATTAGCACAGGCTTGGTACATTAATATTTCATGATGCTTTGGCTACGCATATGAGTAGCCACTGACACTGACACTTGGCATAACGATGAGTGGGAAACGGGCCTTTGTTTGGACAGCTGTTAGCTCCCAACACTCCGTGCCCTCTGAGAGGGTGACTATCTTTGAACCCACTTAGCTCCATACACTGGTGATTGAGAGCAAACAGTAATCGTGGGTATTCAAGATAACCCACACTGGGAGAAACTCAGGAGACATGCAGAGATGTTTTGGTTTGACTAAATCAAATGTCATCTTAAATTCAGGCTGATCCACTCCCAATGCTGCCTCCTCTCCTTCCCTCTGTCTCCCTGTCTGTCTTCCACATTGTTGCTGGTTTAAGTTTAAGAGTAATTTATGTGTGCATCTTTAGAGGATTTCACCTGGACTATGCTGCCTGGTGCCTATGACCAGCTGTGGTGCAGACGGTTCTCAATACCTTGAATGTAGTAAAGCTAAAGACAGATGACAGTGAAACTGGAGATGATGTTAAGAGGGGAGTGTGTGGCATTTGTAGCTTTGGTCAAACAGAATTGCCTGAAGTATAGATAGTAAAGCATTTTTGTGAATGAATCCAACTGACTTTTCTTTTAGCGCCACCAGTAGGTTTGTCAAATACTTGTTTTGATTTGTTAACCAATTACGTGCTGTATCTTTCTAAAAGGCATTTTAAAGGAAACATTTTTTCATGATGTATACTATTTCTGAATTAAGCTCATTTTAGAAAAGTTTGGTTATGGAAGAGGAATCCTGTTCTCAGATTCTTGGCAGAACTTGAAAGATTGCATGAAAGAGTAGTGTGGCTTTTTTTTCTCAACAAGCTTTGTGTTTAAATAAATGCTTGTAAGGCTTGGAATTTGCACCAAAGAGTGTATTATTCCCACAAAAGTCACCACAGTTTTTCCCTGTGTCCTACTCAGATTAGTCATCACCACAGAACAAAGACCCCCCTCAAAGAAATCCAGTGTTTTAAGCATTCCAGATGGTTTGTAATTCTTCTCTGATGCAAATGTGCAACGGGAAAGGAGTGGAAGTCTTGGAGCTGTGGGATCCGGGATGCCTTTGTATTGCCCGGCCCTCCATTGGAGGCATCCAATAGATGAACACATGTGGTAGACTCTTCGTTCTGACACTTTGCCTCCACCAGTGACCTTGCACATTAGAAATTCTTGAGCCATAATGTTCTTGGAACAAGATGGGGGCCCTTTTGAGAGGGCCAGACAATTTAAATTGAGGAAAATGGTAGAAAACAGGGAAGCCAATGAAGAGCCGACCCCGGGGACCAGGGTCATTAGGCTCATACAAGTGTCTGAATGGAAGGCACTCCCAATTTGGACACGCAACACGCTTCAGGCTTTCATCACAGACAAGGACAAACAGATGTCTGGGTATCACAGCCAACATGCTCGCTTCCATTTCTAGTAGAGCGAAAGAAAAAAAACGTTCCATCCTGTTTGAATGTAAGTAACTAATAAACCCCCAGTGTAAAATGCTGAAATGCAGACTTTGAAAGGCCTTGCGAAGTCCTCTTACATGTTTACTCAGCATTCTTTGGACTTCGAATTATCGTAAAAATATCACCCAGTCCAGACAGTTCTGGGTCACTAAGTATGTTAGTTGGTAGTATCTGTCAGTCTGTAGGTCAACAGATTCATGCTATCTGAAAAATGTCCATACTCCTCTATGTTATGTCAGCTGTTGTGCCACTTGTCACTTCTTGTTTAAAAGTTCACAGGACGTGTCAATCATGCAAAATAATCCAGCCAAAAGCTCTTTTTAAGATTGCAAGGAGATTGTGCTCTCACCTTGCAGCTGATTAACTGAGAGGGAAGGTATTAGTTACATGGTAAGTTTAGACAAGTCCCAGATGTCGACATCAATACCTCTGTGTAGCATTTCGACACATGCATCAGCCAGGTACAAGCCAGATTTTTATAGTAATTGCAATGCAGTGTAAAAGCTGAGGAAAGGAAGTAGGTAGAACAGAGGGCTGCACAATTACAAGTGTCTGGAGAAAACAGCAGGTGGATGTGCTGTAAAGACTGCCAAGCCTCCACACCACACAGGGTTTAGGCTAATAAACAGTAAGTCACCAGCACCCAGCATGTTAAAAAGCTCATGAACAATGACTAGCATCCAAACTCCATCTGGCCCAAGCGAGAACAGCAGCCCAAGACGGAGGCACCGCAGAGGAAGAGCCATGAAGCACATTGATGGGCCTCATAGCGTGCCGCGAGTCAAATCACAGTGCAGTAAAAACTAAATTGAGAGTTGACTGTCTGCTGTACTATTGACCCACTGAGCACTCTAGCTCACTCAACATGCGTTTTCTATATATCTTAGTGTCAAAGTGGGAAATTGGTTTTGGTTGGAGAAATAGACTTTTTTGGGGCGGTATCAGTCAGATATGTCAGCTCCAAATCAGTCTAGCGGTTTTCCAAGCACGATAGGGCTCAGTCTTGGCAGAGCTCTCTCTCTGAGTATCCAGATAAGTGTTTCTGCCCGGTATCTCAGATCCAGCCTCCCCATCCGCCTTATCAGCCATGAACACGCTAACCCCCACCACTCCCCCACTATCTGTGTCATCAGATCCAATGGGGTCACAGCGGAGAGCCAATGAGCTCAGCCTTCTTTTCATCCATCAAAAACTTCTATTTAGCAAGGCAAATTATTATTTATTTTTGACCATATGGGAAATAATGATAGAGAGTGTTGTTGTACAAATATTGATATGCTTTATTGATTTCAGTGCCTTCAGTCAGATTGTTTGATGTTTGAAAGATTTCGTTTTTCAAAGGCAAAGAACCTTTGTAAAAAGTTGAACATAATTATAGAATTGTAGTTTCTGTTTTTCAAATTACCACCATAGCTTTACCACTTTACCATAGTTTTTATTTTTTTATATCTGTATTTATTTATTTCACATAAAATGCTGCTGTGACAAGGGAATTTGTGGGATTAATAAAGTAATACAATACAATACTCATTATTGGCATGGCTATTTTGTGTCATCAGTGAAAACAATCCTATTGGGGCATCCTAAGTCAGTGCATTTACAGGAAAGTGTGAATACTAATTTTCCAAGTTGACAAGCGATTTAACTGAACTCTCGATTTTTCAAGTAATCTTCTCAAAATAGAAAAATCTGCCATTGCATTGCAGACCAATATAATTACAGTCAAAATAGGAATCACCAGTACAGTAGTACTCACAGGATTTTAATCCACGTGAGTACCCTTCTTCTTCTTCTTAGTTCTTACTGAATACTGCCACCTCCTGGTGAGTCTGAACAATCGCTTAAGGAATTATTGTTTTTCTCCTTTGACATTCTGCAAAGACCCGCCCTACGCTGCATCTGATAGGTGGTGTCTGTTGAATTTGTTGGTTTGGGTGGTTAGCCTTGTGGCATGTGTAGTGAGATGGTTAGAAAAAAATTAGATTAGAAGTAGAGTAGGGTTGGAATACAGGTGGAAAAAAGTATACTGCGTAACTGTGTTCAATTTAATTCAATTCAATTCAATTTTATTTGTATAGCACCAAATCATAACAGAAGTTATCACTTTTCACTCAATTATTAACAGAGACCCAACAGTTCCCCCCATGAGCAAGCACTTGGCGACGACTGCAAGGAAAATCTTTCTTTTAAGAGGCAGAAAAAAAAGAGAATAAATCGGTCTATAGTTGCTACAAACCCCTGGGTCAGAGAGTGGGCTTTTTAAGAAGGGGTTATAATTACAGCTACTTGCATAGTCCAAGTTGTTATCCAGGACTCTGTTATATTCAGATATGGCCAATTGAATTAACCACTGATGGCATCTCCTCCTTAAATTTAGCTACAGCACTGTCCAGGATAGGACATCTTATGCAGATGATACCCAGTTATTATCTTGTCCAATCAGGCCCGATGAAATTAATCAGTTATATAAGTTACAAACATGTCTTAAGGACAATAAAAACCTTGGATGAGCTGCATTTTCTGATGCTAAAACCAAAAAAACACCTCTGAAACTCACTGTCTATAAGATATAGTTTACTCTAGATGGTATTAGCCTTTAGCTTCCCAGCACCCACTGTCAGGGAATCTTGGATTATCTTCGATCAAGGATATGTCCTTTAATTCCACATAAAGCCAAACCGCTCCCAGGACGTGCCTTTTTTCATTCATGCGTGACATTAAAAAATAGGATTGGCTGGCATACTGCAATTCCCTTATTATCTCAGGTTGCCCCTAATAAGTCCATTAAGATGCTCGCAATTAGATTCAGAACAGCTGCCCAGCACAAAGTAGCTGACAGGAACTGGGGAGGAAAAGAGATCAGCATGCTCTCCTGTTCTACGCTTCTCTGCACTGGCTCTGTAACAATTTCAGAATAGGAATTTAAAATCCTCACTCCTCCAGCCTACCAAAGTCTTCATGGTCAGGCCCTTCCATATCTTAAGGAGGCTCATAGTACCCTATTACCCCCACTAGAAGCATTGCTTTCCCCCTGAAAAGCAGGGCTACTTGTGGTTCATAATAGTCTTTCCTAAGAAGTAAAGAACCAGGAGCGCAGAGCTTTTCAGCCTACAAGCTCCCCTCCTCCTGTGGAACCAGCCTTCCAAGTTGTGGTTTCGGAGGCAGAAACACCTCCTCCCACATTTAAGAAGTTCTTAATTCTATTAGAGATGTTTCCTCCCTTTGATAAAGCTTATAGTTAGGCCTGGATCAGGTGAGTCCTGAACCGTTCCCCTGTAGTTTAGTGCTGGCTATAGGCCTACGACTATCGGGGGATTTCGCCAATAATGCACTGAGTCCCTCTCATCGTCCCTCCCTCTCTTTCTGCACACATTCATGCCCCCATTGAATGCATGTTACTAACTTCCCCAGAGTTCCCTGTGCCCTTTCTTGTCTCCACAGGTTCTCATTGATCCTGGTGGGAGCCCCCATGTGTTGTTGTTGTCCGTCGTCCAAATCGTCAATGCCATCTTCTTCATATTCATCATCATTATCACCCCATCAGTCACTACTATTAGTGTAGTGGTTGTTAACTGTTGTTGCCTGTGCAACCTTTGTCCCCACCTGTCTCTGTCCTTCCTGTCGTACGCTCTGTCCTCTGTCCGCCTTCCTGTCGTTACGCCTCTGTGCCTCCTGTCCCTTTTTTCTTTTTGTCTTTACCCCATTCTCTCTCTGTCTCTCTCCCCTCCTCCTCTCTCGCTCGTCTCGTGCTCTCGTTCGCTTTCTCTACCCAACTGGTCCGAGGCAGACCGGCCACCCCACCTAAGAGCCGGGTCTGTCGCAAGGTTCTTCAAAATTAGAAAAAATCTGCATTTGCATGCCAGACCAAATATAATTACATTCAAAATAGGACATCACCATACAGTTTAGCTACCCTCACAGTGATTTAATCACGTTTGGAGTACCCTCTTCTTCTTCTTAGTTCTTCTGAATACTTTTGCCACCTCCTGGGGTGAGGTTTCTGAACAATCGTTAAGAAATTGTTTCTTTGACATTCTGCACAAGACCCGCCCCTACGGCTGCATCTTGAATAGTGGTGGTCTGGGTTGAATTGGTTGGTTTGGGTGGTTATGCCTTGGTGGCCATGGTGTTAGCCTGAGGATGGTTTAAAAAAATTAGATTAAAGTAGAGGTAGGCGTTGGAATTACAGGTGGAAAAAAGATACTGGCCGGTAAACTGTGTTCAATTTAATTCATTCAATTCAATTTTTATTTGTTATAGCACAAATCATAACAGAAGTTATCAACTTTTCACTCAATTATTAACAGAGACCCAAACAGTTCCCCCCATGGGGAGCCAAGCACTTGGCGGGACGACTGCCAAGGAAAATCTTTTCTTTTAAGAGG